ATGGGATTTCGAGGGAGTGTTCCCTGTCCAATTATAGCGTGGGTAATCAAGTTCCCGAAATTCGAGGACCAGTATGTACAAGAGGTTTCTAGCTAGCGGAACTTCGGGTAATCTTATTACAGCAGGAAACACTGCAAAAACGCATGATCGCAAAGGGCCCTCCAGTGCGCGTCGCCAATGATTTCTTATGAGAATTCCTTTTTAATTCATCAGTCTGCTGGCAGGTAACGCGCTTCATTGCAAAGCAGGCTGTCTACAAAAAGGCTAACCTATTTGGCTTGCAACGATTTTGATTTCTGCTAGTCTTTTACAATTTTCAGGATTCTGCCGCAGGTGTGGGCGTTTCATAAGAATACCGGCTGGCGCTGCAGATGTGGTGAATGGCCAGTCACGCAAGAATGGCCAGTCATGTGGAGGAATGGTGTCCCCTCACCTCTTGCAAAGTTCACGAAAAAGTCAGATTACAGGTAATATGTCAACAATGCTCGTGTAATGGCAATTGATACAAAGTAAACATGAGTTTTGCTCGTGTAATGCTCGAGTAACGCACAATTCTCAACGGTGCCCGCACAACTATACAGGTAACGACCGTTCCTAAATGCAGTACTTGAACGTTTTTCGCAGATTACTTGTATTGATGAGCCACTGTGTCAACAAGCTCAAGTAACATCCAGAAAATTTTCGTGTAACATAGCCCGATCACCCGTACAACCGTCGGGCAACAGCGGGTGGAGCTAGGACGTCGAGTCCGGCGATAATAACCGCTCACCGCGTGGTGAGATGGTTGTTTCACCGCATCCTCTGCTGCCGATGGTTGGTAGCAGAGTGCGACTGCTGAGTGCGAGGGGGGAAGCTCGTCGCATTACGCATTATTTGTGGCACAACGTCAGTGTTTTGTAATGGTTTTTTCGTGCAGGTTGAGTTGTGCGTTGGTGAGGAGGGGGTCGTTTTTTTTATGGGGAGGGAGCACATGCTCAGTGTGGGGGGAGGGGTGTTGTTAAACAGTTGCATTGCTACGTGAGAAGAGGAGGGAATGGGAGGAACGGTTCATTGATTTTGATGAACTTCAAGGGGGGAAGGGAGGAGGGTTGCTGGCTGGCTTTTTTGGGGAGTTTTTTATCGTGGTCGCATCACACCAGTTGCGGGGTTGCGCTCGCAGCTGTCCCCAATGAAGATTTTTAATGAAGTGTAGGGACTGGGAGAGACAGTTGACTGATTCCAGCTAAAGGGGAGGAGAAGAAGAAGGATTGGGTCGTTGC